TCAATAGGCTAATCCTCTGCCTTGCGGCACCGGCACACCAGGTTCTAGTCCTGGTCAGGGTGCCGGATTCTGTCCCGGTTGCCCCTTTTCCAGGCCAGCTCTCTCCTGTGGCCAGGGAGTGCAGTGGAGGATGGCCCAAGTACTTGGGCCCTGCACCCCATGGGAGACCAGGAGAAGCACCTGGCTGCTGGCTTCGGATCAGCGCGGTGCGCCGGCTGCAGCGCACTGGCCGCAGCGGCCATTGGAGGGTGAACCAACGGCAAAGGAAGACCTTTCTCTCTGTCTCTCTCTCTCACTGTCCACTCTGTCAAAAAAAAAAAAAAAAAAAAAAAAAAAAAAGTAGAACCTAGTATGTGTCAAGAGGCAGAGGTGATGAATCATTATTGTAAACAGATCACCAAAGCTTAGGTCCATGAGACCATGGAACAGTAGAGGACAAGCTGAGAGCAGAACCAGAGGCAACAGGACAAGTCATGAAGTCCAAGCTAGGTTGAACAGGACAATCAGATCCTAAGGGAAAATTCACCAGGAATAGCGGTAAAAAAGTAAAGGAAACAAGAAAGCACAGGTAAGAAGCTGGACAGACAGCACAACAAGAAAAAAGCCAGAATTTTGGTGTCTATGTGGATGTGCATTTGAATTCTTCTCTCTTTTGAGTTCTGTGGACTCTTAAAATTCTTTGTCTTGAAGAATTTGTCAAGTAGAATGCTACCTACTTCCAAGAATTATTACAAGGACTGGAGATTGTGTGTTTATCCAGACAAAGCAACATCTAGCAAACACTAAATAAATAATGGCTACCACTAATATTATTTCATTGTGGACTTTCTATGGGTTTGAAATAGAAATATCAGTCTTAGCATGAGCTAATGATTGAAATCATCATTCATAACATTTACCTTGCTTCAACTAAATGGAAACTTTATGTGGTGTTTAAATATTTTGGTACTTATGTATGCATTGAATGGAGTAACTAAATGCCTTTTTATGTAAAAGTCTAAGTTAGTTGCCAAAACATGATACTCTCTACCACATATACACACCATGCTTCCTGTTTTTATATGACTGTCCATCTTAAGCTGCCAATGTTTTAAAGATTAGTACTAAATTTTCTTCACTTCTGTGTAATTCTAGGCTGATTTGGCTGTCTTTTTGTTTTTCTCATTTTTCTTCTTTTTTTTCTTTTATGCCAACCTTTATTCTGGCACTATGTTAATGTAGCTTTTTGTCTATTTATACATGTCACGTTTTGGATTGACTTTTTATTCCTAGTTTCTTCCTGGCAAAGACAATGAACACAACCAGCATACTTAATAAATGTTGCATAATAATAACTATTAAATGTTCCTTTAAAATCTCAAGCAGCTCTTTTATCTTTAGCTTCTACTTTGAGATAATTATATACTTCCCCAAAGTTATTTATAGCTCCCATCAGGAAGAACAGCTGAAAAAAATGTGTTCACAGTTCTGCCAAATCTAAGGTAAAGTGATTTAAACTCTGAAGATCTGCTGCAAGTGTTCAAAATGGCACTAGACATATGGGTGTCTAACTCCGTCAACAGAAAACTTTTCCCAACCAAAATATCTGTGATGGAGGTTGTTACTGAATATCTTGCCCATATCACCATTTTTATTCACTTACCAACAAAATGAGATTTTAAAAAACAGTAACACAATCACACACGTCTTTACATGCTGCTGTTTCCATTTTACCTGCATCTGTACTTGCAGGAGGACAGGTAACAAATCAAGTCTACCATCTACCTTTTGAAGAGGATGAACTCAAGCATATTTAGCCAACTTCACAACTATAGTCAAGACTAGTTTTATAAGTAAGTGGAATCTCCTTCATGGTGTGAACTGGAGAGAGAAAAAAAAAAGCCACACACATGTGCATTGCTTGTAGTTTTGTCACCAGGTTAAACAAATAAAAATCTAGGCACTCTATCCTCTAGCTTGGCTATCTAACTCTGTCCTCAAACTTGCCTAGACATGCTGTCACAAAACCTCCATCGTGTTTCTCCCTTAACTCAAGGAAGCAGGTTAGTATAGGGAATAAATGGACTTGGGCAATTAAGATCTGGGTGCTGATCTCAGCTGTAGCTATTAACAAGCTATTTTGTTTGGGTATGTCCATTATGATTTTTACCACCAAAATGTTATTATTAAAAACTCCATTTCCAGACTTTTCACACTTCCTGCGAGTCACCATGGTAGTTGATAGAGAAACAGTAAATAAGCTCCTTGCTCTACTTCTATGGGACTTTAGATTTAGAAAAAGAGAAAGCATGAACTCCAGCATAGAGTGGAGCTAGAAATAAAGATTTGAGAAGTTCTCCCCCTCCTCCCATTCTCCACTTCTTCGTCTTCCTCCTCTTTCATCTGAGAAGTCTTTCTTCTTCATTCCCTTCTTCTTCCGACTCCTTGTTCTCTTCATAGCTGTTATCACATCTGTCAGACTACATTTCTCTATTTCCTTTCAGTATGCATCTTGTTTTGCTGTATATTTTCATAGAAACCTTTAGATTTAAGAGATCAAATAGAACCCACTACGTGGCCTTCACACAGATTAATATAAAATTATTCAGTCACAGCTTTTGAGACTAAAATACCTTTGAGGGAAGTCATAGACAGAAATCCATCTTTCAGGGCTGGTGCTGTGATGCAGTGGACTAAGCCTCTGTCTGTAGTGCCAGCACCTGGTTCGAGTTCCAGCTTTTCCACTTCCAATCCAGCTCCCTCCTAATGCACATGGGAAAGCAGCGGAGGATGGCCAAAGTCCTCAGGCCCTTCACTTATGTTGGAGAACAGGATGAAGTTCCTGGCTCCTGGCTTTGCTCTAGCCCTGGCCATTGTAGCCATTTGGAATGAACCAGAAGATGGAAGATTTTTTCTCTCTCTCTCTCTCTCTCTCTGTCTCTCTCTGTCTCTCTCTGTCTCTCCCTCTCTCTGTTAATTCTGACTTTCAAATAAATAAAAAAATAAATCTCTAATGGAGATGCTGCTACAAAGCAGAGTCAATAAGACAAATTACCTAATTTAAAATTACTTTGTATTTTTAAATTATGATAAATTAGTGTTTTATTGGTATGCTTTTTAAATACATGTACAAATGATTCAATTGATTGATTTTAATTACTATACAGATCATGAATTCATAGGTATCTTAAAATACTGCTTTTTTGTGATAGGTTGAAACAGTTTTGGAGACACAGCCGTAGTTCCACAGCTAGTGTGAGGGTACCAAGGCTCCTGACTCCCAGCTTAGTACTCTAAGCTTATCTGATGTGTTATTTTTAACAGTTAAATATTCTCCAATAGCATTTACATTATTAATTGGTTTAATCAGCTTTACTAAAATAGATTAACCATTTATAAAGAAGCCTCTGCTTACCACAAAAGCTAAATTGCTGAGGTGTTACTGTATTTATGTATAACACCGATAGATATGGACACTGAGAAAAGTCCTACTTTTATATGGGAAGATGCGAATAGCATCCTGATCCTCAGTCTCTCCTGAATGCCCAAATGTTGGTCTTCTCCTCTTCAGCCATGGTTTTTTTTTTTTTTTTAAAAAAAAAAAAAAAAAAACCTACTTACTAGCCATACTGATTGCCTACTGTGGATCAGCACCAAGCTCAACCCTGAAGATCCAGCAGTGAGGCTCTCACTGTTCACTGGCTCCAGGGGCTCATGGCCCTGCAGGGACAGCACTGCTCAGAGTTGGCTCTCTTGCACAGCAGTTTCCCTGTGGAACTGCTGGAGTCCTCATTAATGTCCGTTCTTCTGTGTGCTCCTCTGCCACAGACAGCTTAAGCAGGTGCCCCCAACAAGGGAAGGGAACTTGGGAGAAGCTACTCCATTGCAGTAAACCTCTGAAGAGTTCTCTCCTACTAGTTCTGATTCTCTGGTTAAACCCTGACTGACACAGCCGTGAAATTTTTATATAATCCTTTTGCATTAAATCTAATTGGACTGTACTTTGACATTTAAGGTAAAAACTTCTCATTAGCATTCCCTTTATTATAGAATTGAGTGAAGTTCATTACTTTCATAGCAGATGTGAAGATGCATGCTTTCAGTTCAACGTGTTGTTGCATTTTGCTGTATCTTTCTTACTTTTCCATTTCAGATGGAAAGATGGAATCCACTCAGTAGCAACTTTCTTTTGTAATTTAACAAGAAAAAATATATTTGCCTACTGAATATGTAAAAAAAAACAGAATAAAATTCATGTTTAATTGGCACAAAATTAAAACCCTTATATACAAATAAGTGATGATTCCTATGAATTTATTAGCAGATTGTAGGAAAGCCTGAAATGAAAATGCAATATGAAACCATTTCATCAAAATAGAAGCAGACATTGCCATTGCTTTGTCAGTTGGCAGTCTAATTTTAAACAAATCAGCAGTAAAGCTGTCCTACTTAAAACTGTTTCTTGCCGGCGCCGCGGCTCACTAGGCTAATCCTCCACCTGTGGTGCCGGTACCCCAGGTTCTAGTTCCAGATCTGTCCCAGTTGTTCCTCTTCCAGTCCAGCTCTCTGCTGTGGCCCAGGAAGGCAGTGGAGGATGGCCCAAGTGCTTGGGCGCCTGTACCCACATGGGAGACCAGGAGGAAGCACCTGGCTCCTGGCTTCAGATCGGCGCAGCGCGCCAGCCGTAACAGCCATTTGGGGGGTGAACCAACGGAAGGAAGACCCTTCTCTCAGTCTCTCTCTCCCTCTCTCTCACTGTCTAACTCTGCCTGTCAAAAAAAAAAAATTATTATTCATGACAAGCTTTTCTATTTTTAAAACTCTATTTTAGAAATGTGACTCACTAAATTTTTTTATTGGGCGCTCTTTCTTAGTTGTAATAACAATGTGCAAAGATAAGCATACTTTTGATATTTAAATATAATAACCCCAAATTCAAGGTGGATTTTTGTCTCTGTATACAGATCAGGTACTATTGTCAAATAAATTAATTTTAGCTACAAAGGACTAATTCCAATAAATATCTTTAAGAAATTTATTACCATTCACCTGCAATAACAAACATGTGCTTTGATATTTTTATTTATTATAAAAACTGAGTTTTCAATGAAGGCAGTTTAGCAGGACTATGGTTGTGAAAATGAACTTGAACTTAGCAATTTTTAAACTAAAATCATGGAAGAATAAAATATCAAGCAAGTGAAAATTCTTCTGTGATACAAATAATTTAATGTAAACAAGAAAAAATTAAATATATTTATCAGCAACAGAAATACATAGAGCAAAAAGGTTATTTTATTTTACTTCATGCTTCCATTGAACACAACTGGCATAAACAGAGCAATAGGAGTTAAATGCATCTTTACATTTCCCTCAGACTCTTCAGAAAAATTACAAACAATAAAGAAGGTTCCTAGAAAGAGGTCTCTAAGAGAAAAAAAAAATCGTAGAGTGATTAGACTCTCAGAAGTCATGACTTTCAATTATGAAGACACCTTTTTTGCTCCACTGTGAAACTGTATAGTTCATCAGAATTTTGCCAGCTGAAAGAAAGTAAAGCTAACACTGGCAAGACCCAGCACTCATATGTGGCAGCCAAAAGGCACAAATATATGTGGATGTTCCTTTCAACATGGATTACTCATGCACTACGAGATAATGGCTTTCTGACACAAAACAAATGTTGTGGGATAAAACAGACAATATTTAAATGTATATATTTTCTACAAGCATGTTTCTTGAAGTGTGCTCAAGGGAATACCTGAATCAGAATCAGGTGGAGCGCCCCAAATGCTGACCATCTGAGGGACCAGGGATGTGTACTGTTAACAAACTCCCCTGGAGACACTTAAATACATTAAAGTTTAAGTACCTCTATTCCAGACTGTTTGGAACTTCTCTAGCCTTTTTTTTAAACCACAAATATATGTCTCTATCATGCTTCTTACTTATTATCCAGAAGGAAAAGCAAAAAACAACAGCAAATTCCTGATTATCACTCAGCAGTGATAATTAGTGGTATTTATTTTCCATCAAGAAAATATGGAGAAATAGGCAACAAGCAATTTTGCACCTAAATTTCTTGAAGGTGCACTGTAGTGCTTTGTTTTAAAAGTTTTCAAAGTGTATACATAATAAAAACGTCCAAAATGATTTGTAAACTGTCACCAAGATCATCCAGTGTATAGTGTTGTTGCTGAATCCTCACAAAAGCCCTTGCTAGTCTTCTTTCACAAGCACTGAGAATTCAGCAAGCACTTGGGAGTTCTCACCAAGTGAGGCACTGCCTACTCAGCAGCAGCAAAGTAGTAGCATCCAGCAAACAAGAGGAATCAAAACTCAGTTTCAAATCCAAGCACAAAAGAAGTCAAGACCTACCAAAGGGTAAGATGAATTACAGATCATGCTGACTCTCTTCAGAGAAAGTCTAATCTCAAATATCCTTATTACTATCTGCTTGAAATCCAGTTTATATTGACAATGGAAAGCAAAACACACCATAACATGCCACTAGTATCTACGATAGTGTTTATTCCTATAAGATCCCTATGTACAAAAGCAATTTTACCTGTGAATAATATAAATTGGAAATTAAAGAGGTAGGTGACAATCAACAGCAAGTTGAGCAGTATGCTGGAGTTCCAACATAATTGCAATTGCCTTGAGAGCAGTTTCCTAGGCCTTTCACGTATCACCAAACTTTCTTGATACTTGCCATGAACTTTCCACTCTTCAGATATTCATTAAAAAAAAAAAACCTAATGAACTAAAATGTAAAGAAGTAATACTGGAGACCAAAGAGTGATGCTGACAGCTGAGCGCTTTAAAAATCTGAACTCTCATATGGAGGAAAGCACATTAGAGTTGGCCAGGACCTTGGAGATCCGTCTAATCCAACTCTCTGGTTTTACAACAGAAGAAGCAAATGCTTGTTATTTTTTTCTTCCATTGGCTACAAAGCATTAAAATCATCAATAGATGTTATTAATCCATGATTTCACTTGCCTATTTGGCCCATGCTGTAGCCAAGAGATAATACTCTCTGGCCATCTGGCCTACGTCTGCAGTCCCATCCCTATGCCAGTAGTGACAGAGAAAAGCTGACTAAACACCATGGATATACCTGAGGTGCAGATAGTCAGCAGAGAAAAGTAGTTTGAAGTCCTAGACCTGCCCTATATTAAAACCTGCTGTGGGCTGAAACCAGGGTTTATCTTCCCTTCCTGTAAGAGACACTTCTTGAGCACATTCACAAACTCCAGCTCTGTTAGAGCAGGCACTGAGGGCAGCAATGCTGTTCTGCCCAGAACATTTAGAACCTACACAGCTGGACAGCTGGAGACCTCCAAATCCATGAGGGCAAGATCTGCGGACAATTATAGTTAAGTTCTCGGTAACTGTCAGACACTTGTTTTGCAAATTAAAAAAAAATAATAAACCTGATTACCTTTATAGTCTTATTTATCTAAGATTTTAAAGTTCCACTTTACATGATATTTATTAGTGATTTTTCTTTTCTATTTTCCAGACTTTGAGATGGTAAAAATATGATTTTAGTCTAAAGAAATTAAAGGATACACAGCTAAACTGAATGAGTGTCTAGTGACACAGTGCAACAGTACAGTCTCAGAATTACAAGAGAGTTTCAGCTCCACTGTTAATCTTGGGCAAGATTTTAGTCCCTCTGAGATTTACTTTCTTCATCTGTAAAAAGAAAAAATAATTCCTACCTCACAGGATGCCATGAGGACAATATAACATACAGTGCCTGGCACATGGTAGGTGTCCACCAGTGGTAGCAGTGTCTCCTTCTCTCTACTACTCTTGGCAAAAAAAATCCTTAAGAAAGAGGAATCACCGTGGCCTGATCACCCTGTGGCTGCGTTCGCCTTTTAAATTTTCAAGGCTTCCCTGTCTCCTCAGTTTTGACTTGTTGCTCTGAAAAGTCACTATTGTGCTCAGAAAATTTTCTATATGTTTATGTTCTCGCCTTTAAAACTATACACATAGATGAAATGTTTTTAAAAACTATCTTCCTAGAAATGCTAATTCACATGTTTCCTGAAGCACAGTATGTCATGTATAAAAACAATTCTGAAAAATGACTGAATTTATACATCATTTCTTAAAGTGCACCAAAGTAAATAGTAATGACCTTTAAAATGTCACTAACCTCCTTGGGTTACCTTGTAAAATGAAACTATTTATCAACTGAGACAGATGAAGGGTTTGGCTCCAATGTGATGGCAAAAAGCAGCAATGTCTTCCAGAAAAGAATTGATAATTCAACTAAGCATAATTTTAGCAGCATACAAAACACCTACAAGTCAATGTAACTGCAGGCTCAATAAAGCACAATCCTGATTCTTACTACAAAACCAAAATCAATCAAATAACAAAAACCCATCTCCCCAATCTAAAGCAAGGATTTCTCTTGAATCTTGGAGGTATCATTTGTGATCACTTTCTTATTGTGTATTGTTAACAGAATTGTAACTAATCACCATTTTTTACACTGCCCATGCACACACACACACATACACACACCAACTCTATTAGAAACAATATAAGTGGAGAGCCATGTGGAACAAAACTAAGTCAATTAAAAACAACCATCACCCCAAATGTCAATTAGTTCCAATATTCACACCACCGTCCGATGTTCCCCACACACGTAGACAGCACTAGGGCGTATTCTTCTCTTTGTGTGACCAGGGAGCCGCGGCAAAAACTTGAAGGACTTGGGCATCATATCCAGGCAGGCGTCATGGAATTTCTTTATCCTCCAGTAGTAGATCAATGGGTTCAATGCCGATTTGAGGTAGCAGAGCCAAAGCAGCCAAGTGCTAATCTCAAAAAAGTTGTGTTTATGGTAAAAGTGCTCACTGAACGTTGCCACAAGGCTGTAAGTGGTGAACGGGGCCCAGCAGACAATGAAGACAGCAAAGAGAATTAAAATGGTGGTGAAGGCACGCGTCTTAAAGCCCATGTCAATGCTCATCTGGAAGGGTCTCTGTAGACTCATGAGACCCAGTTTGCTGGCTTGGCTGAGGCATATCCCTTCAGGGTAGCTGTGGATCCTCAAGGCATTGTGCCGAAGGGTGTTGAGTATGCCCATAAACGAATACAGTATAACCAAGAAAGGTATAAAGAAAGAAATGAGAGAAATCAAAATCACATAAGCCTGGTAACCTGCATCGGTTGTGTACCCAAACACACACTGGGGGGCTCGGGAAGGTATCTGCAGATCAGGATTTCCTACAGCCAAAGGAAAAGCTACACAAAAGGAAGTTGCCCAAGAAACTGCGATCAGAACCTTAGCCCTATACGGATTTAGCTTATCCTGCCTCTGGACTATAATAAGAAATCTATCGATGCTAATGATGAGCAGGATGGCTACTCCCTCTATCACAAACAACCAGAAAAACATAGCAGACACCCTACAGAAGAACTTCCCAAAAATCCATCTGGTAGTAAGAATAGTTATCAGGGCAAAGGGCATGTTTAGCACTGCAAGCAACATGTCTGCAAAAGCCAGGCTGGCAAGGAGGATATTAATTGCAGATCGCATAGCAGCTTTTTGGTAAACCATAAGGCAAACAACCAAGTTCCCAAGAAAAGACACAAAGAGAATAAATATCATTATAGCAGAAAGGATGATCTGGAGAGGCAAGCTGAGGCTCTTAAAAGCTGCTGGTGTTGGGGGCACAGCCGTGCTATTCACTGTCAAGGAGCTCAAACCAGTGGGAGCCATGGTTTCAAAACTGTATCTAAACAGTGGACTGATGCTGGGGTGCTGAAACGGCGGAGGGATTGTGATATTCATGTAGGTGTTCTCATAGACTACAAACGTCGTGTTCGATGTCCCAGTGTGGGATGCGGTCAACACTGCCGAGAAGACCATGGCTTCAGGATGGAAGGTACACGCAGAGATGTGGGGGTTCTTCAAGCATTTCAAAACAGAATGGCAGTGTCAGGTTCCATTGACAGGCTTCGAAACACATTCTGGAAAATGGACAAGGAGTTCCATCTTCCACAGGAGTCCTTTTGCCTGAAAACAAGCCCAAAACATGAAAAGTAAATGAGAATGAGCTTTGTAAATACTTTACTTCTTTTCTTTCAACTTGAAGGATCAGTTTATTCTTCTTAACTCTTTAAAGTATTGAAATCTATAGCTTAGTCAGCACCAAAATATCGGCGTGTTGTTTTACTTCTAGTTGACCATGATGGAAATTTCATGACATTTATATATAAAGCAAAAAGAATCTCAAATTTTATTATTTCCCTGAAGACAAAAGTCATAATTGGTTAGCATTTTATTTAAAATTTCCAGCAGCATCATGGTCTTGCCACAGTCACTATTAATACAGATTTTACTATCTGTGGCTCTTTGGTACACATTCTTATTCTATTTTTTACATCAACACAAAACTGGATAGTAAAGAATTCGAAAGTCAATTTCCTATGTAATGTAATAGTTATACACTTTAGGTTTAACATTCTTATAGGTGGACACTAGGTCATTTTCAATGAAGGTCTAAAACATTTTCTGGTTTTTTTAAAAAGTATTTCTTCCCAGAAATCCACCACCAATCATACTGAAGAAATCACTCAAGAGAAGAAAAATTGCAACTAAAAACTCCTGGTCCTATTACCAAAACTTTTCTTTTTTAAAAAAACATTTAATAAAATAATAAAATAATTTATAAATAAATAAATTTTTAAAAAAGATTTCACAGCAAGAGAGGGAGAGACAGAAAGAAAGACAGGGATCTTCCACCCACTGGTTCACTCCCCAGTTGGCTGCAATGACCAGGGCTGGGCCAGACAGAGCCAAGAGCTTCATCCAGGTCTCCCACATGGGTGCAAGGTCCCAAACACTTGGACCACCTTCCACTGCTTTCCCAGGCACATTGGCAGGGAGCTGGATCTGAAGTGAAGCAGCCAGGACTCGAACCGGTATCCATATGGGATGCCAGTGCTGCAGACAGAGGCTTAACCTGCTGCACCACAGCATCAATCCCAAACCTTTTCTTTTTCTAAGTCTCTCTTTGCTTCTCGTATTTTGTCTCCTCACAAAGCCTGCCCAGTTTCATCCTTTCTTATAGAGCTATGAGGGTACTTCAAAAAGTTTATGTAACATAGAATTAAAAGATAAAATTATAAATTATTTTGGTGGAAAAATTCTGAAATCCATGCATCCAAGTGGGCTTCAAAACAGTCTATGGAAAATGTGTCTTATGAAAAAAACCATGCAAGTTTTCACATTTTTTGCACCAAAATAAACTTTGCATATTTATTTGAGAGGCAAACATACAAAGAGAGAGAGAGAGAGAGAGAGAGAGAGAGAGATCAATTAACAGAGAGTGCTCCCATCTACTGGTTCACTGCTCGTATGCCAACAACTTCAGGCCTCAGTGAAAGAGAAGCCAGCCAGGAACTCAGTTCAGGTCTCCTATATAAGTGGCAGAGACCCAACTACTTAAGCCATTACCTGCTTCTTCTCAAGATCTACAGTGGAAAGAGGCTGAAACTGGGTGCTGGAAGCAGGAATTAAACCCAAGCTCCCAGCTATGGGATATGAGCATCTTAAACACCGGTGTCTTAACCACTAGTTTAAAGCCTTGCCCCAATTTATCTTTTAATTCCTTTTTTTCACAAGCTTTTAAAAGTACCCTCATACTTCTATCTTCTCTGTTTCTCCTCTCCAAAACTGATCTTACCTTGTGTTAGCAACTGATAGGAGATGGTAACCAAATAAAGATGGGGATGTTAAAAGAAATGTCTAGGAAAATATTCCAGGATAAAAAATCTTTTCCAGAAAATGTCCAAAGAAATTTAGTTTTCTTCCTCTAAAAAGTTTCTTATTATCTTTCTCCTACCCTTGTCCCAACTTCTTAACAACTTCTGCAACTGCAGAGCTTTCTGTAGGGGCTTTCTCATCCTGCTATGTTATTGTTTTGTGATATCGGTTCTTCCTTCTGTAGTTCTTTACTGGAGGGGAAGCATCTTTAGTTAGAAAGATCTCTCTCAACTTTACAATTTACTGTCACATTTATAGCTTAATTTGGTTCCTACTAGATTTTAATTATCTTCACACATTTGCTGTGAAATGTAAAACATAGCTGGATAAAATACCACACTAAACCAATAGTTTTCAAATTATATTAACCACAAAGAAACCAACAGGGAGGCAGAGTCAGAATGCTTTACACCATCATCACCTCTTTAGGACTACTGTAAGTATATACTAAGAATGAAGACAGTGCTTGCTACAACAATCATCCTCAATACAAAAATTATAAAGATTCAAATGTGTATCTTAAGCCTAATATAATAGCTAAAATTATGTTTGAAAAATTAAATAAACATATCATCCTGCAATAGTACACATTTCAAAATACTGAGTTTCGTTGAACACGGATGAGTCTGGAAACAGGAAAAATGACTACAAAAATAAGAGGCACCAGAACCTCACTCCACACCCAGGTCTTCTCTCCTCTGAGCAATCAAATGAAAGCACACACCTCCAATCCAGTCTCCCGAGTCTGTGGCACAGTGAAATCTGACAAGAATAAAATCAAAAAATACCAGTGCAGGGTTGAAAACAGGTCTCACTACATGTCTGAACACTCAAAGTAGGAACCAAGTTCCTCTCTCCTCCAAGTTCCCAGAGTGCCAGCAGCCAGGTATATGCTGCCTACACAGAAGTCTGAGAGCTCATCTCTTCAAGTAACTGAATAGGCTTGGGGGAAAATTCATAAATAATATATTAAGGATATCCCAAGAAAAATTCAGGCTTGGTACCCATCACCTTATGTACTGAAGACCACCTGCTGTCAAACCCAGCTCACAAACATGCCTTTCAGCTTTTCAATGCTGAAATGGATTTATGATTGTTTCTCTTAGAAAGCATTTACAGAAACAACATGGGGTGGTGGGTACTAGGTCAGTGTCAAACAATATGTTCTATATTTGGAATATAGCAAAGTGTCACTGCTTCTAGCGCTTTCCCTTAGTCTTTTCTGCTACTATAGGGTTTGAGATAATTGCTTTATTCTCAGAAAAGATCATATTCTCCTTGAAGGCAGAGACTGACTTTTATTAATCTCACTGTCCCTTATGATTAATATGCTTTGCAAAAAGCCCAACAAATATTTGGAAAATTAAGATCATTTGTACTGCTTTGTGAGATCAGGAAGTATTTTTTGCTCATTTTAATCTTTTTGAGATATGCACATTATAAAACTAATCAAATGAGGTTTTCCCATTTTATTTGAAAAGCACAGAACAAAGAAGAGATCTTCTACATGCTAATTTTCTTCCCAAATGCCTACAAGAGCCAGGGGTGGGCCAGGCAGAAGCCAAGAACCTGGAACCTAATTCTGTGGGTGGCTGTACATCGACAACTGAATTCCTAGCCCTACAGCCTCTTCTCTGTTAGTTGAGGCACTGATCAGGATGGAATAGGATCTTGAAAACTGAAAAGGAGATATATGGCGGTTCTGAGGGTCTTATTCTGCAGAATTTCCTTTGCCAATGGAAACCCTTCCCTGTCTAATAAAGTTATATTCACTGCTAAAAGAAACATTAAGAGCCTCAGCTTCTCCTAAGAACCTTGCCATACCCTGCTTCTAAATCTATAAAAGCAGTCTTAAGTCCCAATAGAAACTAAAGGGTATAATACATTTACATAGCATTATATAAATACCATTTACATGAAAATTGCAAAATTTTCTGAATTTATGCATAGAATCCCATATAAATATATATGTGTGTATACAAGTACATATACATATATATATCTAAAGCTGTTGGATCAGAGTGGTAGAAAACATTATGCTGAGTGAAATAAGCCAATCCCAAAGGGACAAATACCACTTGTTCTCCCTGATAGGTGACAACTGAGCACCAAAAAGGAAACCTGTTAAAGTGAAATGAACACTATGAGAAACGATGACTTGATCAGCCCTCACCCTGTTGATAAGCAACTTAATATGTTATCCCTCTTAGTATTTTTTGTTTGTTTGTTCTACTTAATACTTTTGGTTGAATACTGTAATCAATACACAATTCTTCTTAAGTGCTGAAACTTAACTGAAAAGTGATCGCTGTTAAATATAAGAGTGGGAATAAGAGAGGGAAGAGATGTGCAATTTGGGACATGCTTAAGCTGACTTGCCCCAAATGGTAGAGTTAGAAACATACCAGGGGATTCCAATTCAATCCCATCAAGGTAGCATGTACCAATGCCATCTCACTAGTCCCACTGATCAATTTCTGTTCACAATTGATCATAATGATAGGACTAAGAACCAAAGGGATCACAGAAACAAGAATAGTGTCTGCAAATACTAGCTGATAGAATCAAAAAGGGAGAGAATGATCCAACATGGGAAGTGAGATACACAGCAGACCCATAGAATGGCAGATGTCCTAAACAGCACTCTGGCCTCAGAATCAGCCCTTAAGGTATGCGGATCCGGCTGAAAAGCCCATGAGAGTATTTCAGGCATGGAAAGCCAAGACACTCTGGGGGGAAAAAAAAAAAAAAAAAAACTAAATGAAAGATCTCCGCAAGTGAGATCCCAGTGGAAAGAACAGGTCATCAAAGAAGGAGGTACCTTTCTCTGAAGGGAGGAGAGAACTTCCACTTTGACCATGGCCTTGTCTAAATATGATCAGAGTCGGTGAACTCAGGGGGCTTCCATAGCCTTGGCAGCTCATGACAAGAGCCTAGGGTGATTACTGATGCCATAAACAAGAGTGTCAATTGGTTAAGTCAACAACAGGAGTCACTGTGCACTTACTCCTCATGTAGGATCTCTATCCTTAGTGTGCTGTACATTGAGATTTAATGCTATAACTAGTACTCAAACAGTATTTTTCACTTTATGTTTCTGTGTGGGAAAAACTGTTGAAATCTTTACTTAATGTATGCTAAACTGATCTTCTGTATATAATCAAAAATGAATCTTGATGTGAGTGGAAGGGGAGAGGGAGTGGGAAAGGGGAGGGTTGCGGGTGGGAGGGATGTTATTGGGGGGAAGC